GGTAGGATATTATATTTTTTTAATTCTTACTTTTGATATTTATTTAATTAGTCTTTGGTTTCCTAGAATCCAGGTAGCACGTTTCGTCTTATTTGGGACTCATCAGCTGGATATACCTGCATCCTAGAGTTGATGATCACTCCGGGACTCAAACCCAGTACCTTTCGCTTCAAATGCCATTGCATTATCCACTTAGCTATTGAGTCTTGATAGCTACTTGCTTGTACAAACTTTTAAACAGTTTTAATTCTTCCGTATTACAGTCTCTTAATATTACTGTGTGCTAATGAAAGGGAACACAGGTGACGACAACTGAATGTAGTTGAATACAACATTACATAATAAATCGTTAGAATTTGAGAATCATACAGTGAATACTTCATTCGCAAAATGTCTATGTATTATCTCAGGCTTTGATGTTCTTTCGTTTCCATATCAACCACTCTCTGTTCTCGTCCTCTTCTCTTTGATATTCTTAATCGTCTGTCATCAGACATTTCACTTTCGATTGATGATAAATACTACTTATATCTGTCGATATCAGTAACACACACCACACTATTTCCACATGTGTGTAGACTTGTTCCATTTTAATTGATTAACAATATGGTTTTGGGGTTGTTACGATATTTGTTCTTTCTTTACGAATAAAGTTCACTTTACTGGATGAACTGATTCAGCATTCATTTTATTGCTTATTACTTCATTTAATTCTATTATGCACAAAAAATAACGTTCAAACACGATTTTCGTATGTGTGGGCCGTGATACTCCCCAGGTTCCCAGACGGAACAGGTGGTTTTCTTAGAGGACTACTTCCAGAGCCTTCGAACTAAAGGTCTGATCCATAAGAGTCAGTGGAGTAACGTCAGGTTCATGTACCATTTATTCCTTCAGTATCTTGTAGCTCATGTTTACCATTAGTTTGGAATTCGAGTTTTCCAACTCCCCTTGATGGATCCTACATATCCGTCAACCCGGTTAAAGCTCCGGACATTCGTTTATCGTTTACATTAACATATATACAAATGGTTTATTTTAGCCATTCTAACAATCCTTACGTGGCGGTCTCTTTTCAACAAATATATAAGTCTGTTGTGAGATATAAATTCACTGAAGACAATGGTGTACGGTGGCGCAAATTCGTGGATTGTTTGAAGTTAGACATTAACACCGTTGGATGCTTGCCAACTCAGTGGTCTGATGGTTAGGCGCTCGCGCACGAGACTGCTAGAGAAGATCTACAAATTCTGAAAATAATAACAGAATTCATTCCAGCAGTTTACAAGCACGGTCAGCTTCATGTAAATAGTAACATTAAATGTGGAGAAAACACAAGTGATATAGGATTTTTCTAAAATGGTTTAGGCAGTACATGTATAACATGTAATACAGTAAAGAAATTCATCGACCAGGAACTTCTAAAGTGTCATCCGGTATTAATGTAAGTTAGCAGCAGGTAAGTGATTCAATTCAGTGGATTCTACAATAAGAATGGCTGGACATTTAAAGTTCCTGTAACCTAAATTGTGGAATAAGACACACTTACAGGTGCTAGAACATTTGATGCATCAATGTAGCGAACAAGGGATTGAAGGGATTTTGGCAAATTATTCCAGATGATGGAAATTTACAGGTCAAGTAATTCATGTACGGAGATAATTTTGGATGAGTTTGCTTCACTATTGACAAGGAGTTACGGATATTGCAATCAGAAAATTCTGCATATTCAATTACTTGACTGGATGTAGAGGATAGTTTATTAGGTATTCTGAGAAAAGAAATTACGAATCCTTCTATTCAGTTGAAGGATATTATCATTATCTTATAGAAATACAGTTAGTAACTGGTAGTAAATTTAAAAACGGTTTCTACTGACTTACTATATACTGAGAAATGGTCTTTACTTTCTTATCAGTTTTAGACATCACTTGGAAGAATATTCTCAAGAAGTTTTATAGACAAAATCAAATTGACTTGCTAGATACCAGTTCAGTAATTTAAAGGGGCGCGAGATAGATCTTGGGTTCGAGTCCCACCAGAGGGATGTCGGATATACACTTCTGAGTATTAATATATTCAAACACATAAAGATTGATACAATTAAGCAACAAATACATATGCACCATATAAATCAATCGATTTGCACGTTTCCCCACATTCAAGCAGGTGGTTTTCTTAGGGGACAATATCCCGAGCCTTCTATCTAAAAGGTCTGATCCACAAATTAGTCGATCAACGTTAGAAGATGCAGTCTCATGGTAGCCGTGGACCAACTGTAAGTTCGTACATCATTTATTCCCTTAGGATCCTGTAGCCTATGTGCATCGGTTTTGAATCTGGGTTTTCCAACTCCCCTAGATGAATTCCTCATATACATGAACCCGGTGTTAAAGCCCCGGACATTCACTTTTCGTCCTCTCAATTTCGAAAATAAAACCCTCACCGCGAGAAGACAGTGAGTGAAACATTCCTGACAGTGACTGTATATACGTGGCCATTTGCGAGCATTTCTAGAAAGTGAGCGCTGACTCTTTCCACTCTCCGCCGTACCAGGGAATAAGCCAGTTTAGACGAAACGGCCGTCCAATGTTTCCAGGCTTTCCATTGTGGTCTAGCTTTAACTGACTCATGAATTCAACTAATTTTGTCTCATACACTGACTCATGAATCTATGTTATTGCATGATACCAATTCCTTTTATGGATACCATTTTTCGAAAGATATAAGGTGTTCACAATATAAAAACTCGTTAGGTCACATGATTGCCCATTGATATTCATGAGGACTGATGATAATACTTTAAAGACTAATAATCTTGATATGAAATGATGTTATATCATAAAAGTCTGGATCAAATTTATTCACTGACCTGAAATCACCCTATTTATTAAAGCTAATCAATAAGACAAGATTATTATCCTCAGAAGAAATTAGACTACACAAAAAGAAAAAAAAGTATTCAGGCATGAATCAAATCATCACAACAAGAGTATTAACTTATAGCCTTTGATGTTCTGTCATGGTTACAGGCATAAGAGATTATAATGTTGTCACGCAAATGTTTTTAATGTTACGTTACGGATTAACTTTAGTTATTCTAATTCACTAATTAAATGATTTATTTATGTGCTGGATATCGACCATATATGAAAACGTCCTTAAATGCTCTGATGCGGTTTAGAGTAGGGAGTCCGCTCTTATGCTTCAAATGCTCACACATGGCCACGCGTATACAGCCTCTGCCAGGGAAGTCCTACGCACCGCCTTCTCGTGGCATCACTGTTGTTTACGACATTGAGACGACGGGAAGAGAATGCCCAGCGCTTCAACCAGGTTGGTGGACAGACAGATTCTACCTATGGGAGTTGGAAAACCCTGATTCACAACCAATGATGCACATGGGCTCCAGTATCCTGAAGCAACAAATGGCTAATGAACCAATCGTTTGTCACCTACTACCATGGGACTGCATTGTGGATTAGACCTTTAGGTCAAAGGCTCCAGTTGTGACTCCCTAAGAAAAACCACCTACTTCGGTCTGGGCAACCGGGCAGTATCACAGCCCACACACAAATCAAGTGGCTTGTGTGTCGCATATGTACTCGGTGCCCCTTTTTACCAGTATCTGTATCCAAACAAATAAATGTATATAAGCATACTGAGTTTCACAGGGTCACTTTCTTATAATATTGCTTACATAATAACACGCTGAAATAGTTTAACAATAACAATGAACCGTCGTACATCATGTATATTGATTATATTTCAACATCAGAAATCTCTATCACATAATGAATTTGGGACGGACCTAATCAATGATCAATGTAGAATATATATTATTGGAGAAAATATACAAGATTCAACATGTTCTTACAACTCAATTGACCTCTTTGACAAAAAAAAATAATGAAGGTCATAATAATGTCCAAGTAGTGGATAACAAGTGAATACGTTCGTTTAATCAATAACTTATTAGTTTACAAATAAAATTTGGCACACATTACTGTACTTTACAGAAAATAGACCCTATTGTTTATTAGATTTTTCAAAAAAAATTTATAACCATAGTGGAATAAGTCAGTTACAACGTACTAGGTTTGAATCCCACGGTAAAGATCAACTCTGGAATGCCGAGTGATCCAAATGAAAAGTCCTAAGTAGAATAAAACAAGTGTGGTTGATTCCACTGCTTTCATTGTTACTCATGAATGTAACAAAAGGAATACAAATATACTCAATGGTATAGATTTGAATCAATAATTGGTTAGCTACAACGTAGATCCAGGCACACATGAGCATCGGCATTATTTGCCACAGCTCATAAGCACAAGATGTACACCGAGTTCATAGTAGTTACTTCAATGATAGCAATATATATAAAAACCAAGATTGCATATAAGGATATAATACAGGGAGAAAGAATTAGTAGACAGAAAGAAAGGTAAAAAGGAATTTTAATCACAGTGTACACACCTACACCACTGTGATCGATTCCGAACGATGTCACAGTCACCAACCATTGCTTATGATAGTCACATGGACCCCAACCAAATAATTTGCATGTACCAACAAGACTAAGACCAGAAGTTAGTGAATTTATGAACTGATACTACGTTTTGATTTGGTCACCCTTAAATTTCTTCCAACCATCCTCAACACTAATCAACATTGTGGGTCGTAGTAATAAGTGTTCAGGCGTACATAACACGTGACCATATACATTGTCGAGTGATATGATTGTGAAGCACAGAATATAAAGCTATTACGCTGAGCTCCCAATTTTGGAGAGAAAATTTGACCCATTTATGGGAAGCCGCTATAGTAAACTCTGGGGAAAAGGCACCGAAATTCCCCTTTAATCTTGGTGAAATTTCCCCAAACCTAGATGATTGGGTACGATATCATATTAATGGTAATACCGACGTCATTTACTCGGTTCATCGTTATCAAATGTACACACATCTCATCAATACAATACTGTCAAGAATATCAACGCATTAAAAGACTAATGTTTATTTATAAAAATAATATGACATAAAAATATCTTTATCAAAATGTGTTTTTATTAAAAAAAAATAAGATGGATAGATCACAAGTAAACAAAATGGGAACATTAAGAAGATACAGAAGAGATAAACAACAACAACAACAGCAACCTGGAACTTATGATGGACTTGACAACAATACAAAAATAAAGTATTATACCGGTGTTATTATTATTATTATTATTAATATAAATGAATAAGTCTATCCATTAAAACACCATTAACATAGAGGTAGTATTAATTAGAAATTAAAAATCAATTCAAATCGAGCATAGTGATTGATCCGTGAATCAATATCATAATAATAATGATTAAAAGAAATCGGATCTCCATGATCCCTGGAACGAGCACAATTACTGATCTGTGAATCAATATCATAGTAATAATAATAATAATGATTAAAAGAAATCCGATCTACAATGATCCCTGGAAAAGGTTGTTTACTTGAATAACAAATACAAAACGTGTGTGTGGGGGGGAGGGTCTATGTATATAAGTAGTCACAATAATACTGATATAAAAAATAAGTAGTAAAGATTTGAAAATTACAGAATGAACGAAATTTATTTAAATAAATATTAATTTTATCATCTTAAATAATAATAATAATAATAGAAAGGTATATATATATATATAAATGTTCCTTAAAGGATAAACAAAGCAAAAACCCCTTGGCAACAAGGAAAAACAAAACAATATATTAATTAATTTTTTAAATTTTAAATAGTAACTCGCCTTAAATTTGAACATAATGACATTATATCCATATGACTATTACTATTACTACTAATAGTACTAATAGTACTATCATCTTGTATAAAATGATCAATATCCCAATAACTCGTAGCTGTTCTATTCAGATTATGATTAATATGGTTCTCAGTTGTTACTGCTGCTGTTGTGGTGTTGGTGATGGTTGTTGTGATTGGTGGTGGTGTAAAATGTAAAAAATAACAATTACTACCAAATGGACAATGACCATTATTAGCATAATTAATACATATTCTAGTACGATATTTTGGATGAAATTGTGGATATTTTAATTCATCTGGACCATGAGCAAAATGACAATTATCACCAAGTGGACAATGTTTATATTTTTGATAATGTAAACATGGTTGCGTTTTATATCTTGCATTATAAATAGCATCTTGTTTACGTGGTATTGGATAACGCATATGTACTTGCATTGGTCTATGTGTATTAGTGATAGATTGTAATTCATTAGAACTAGTGACTGTCTTTGAAGTAATCACAATACTATTTGATGATAATGATGATGTCATATAATGTTCATCATTTTCTTTTTGTCTTAATAATGGTCTTGGTCGTAATTTCGTCATTTTTGGTATCTTCTTCATCAATTGATTGATTTCTAAACTTGACTCATGACTTGTTGTTGGTGTTGTTGAACATTTTGGGAAATATATTGAATCATTCATTAATATATTCGCTTGACATGTACATACAGCTGATGTTTTCGTTAGATTCGGTATATGATTTTCATTATTCTCTTGATCATAATATGTTTTCCATGTTTTATTTATAATCATCTTTAAATGATCTGGTAAATGAGTAAATTCATTTGTGGATTGAATCAAATTTGGATCTATGGATTCTATAGTTTGCCTGGAATAGAACTGATCCGTATTGCATAATTTATGACGTAATAATCGATCCTCTTGTGAATTATTATTCTTATTCGTAGTAGTATTAAATAACTCATGTAATGGGGATCTTGTTGTTGTTGTTGCTTTGCCAATATTCAATTTAGTTTCCATGTCGGTTAAATATTTAAGGACATCATGAGTTTCAAATACCATTCTGATCAAAGGAGGATGTTTTTTTTATTTTTTAAAAAAAAAACAAATAAAATAATGATAAAAATAAAAAATAAATTAAGTTTTGTGTGTCTTGGGGAATCAAAATGGTTTTATCCCAATTAAGATTTTTGACTACTTTTTATGATTGATAAATAGTTGCCACTATTGAGATATCAAGGTCAACTGTTGATGAAATTAACCAATCAGAATGATTAGATGAGTGAAATGATCTCGTTCCTATATCATGATTGATTCATTCCCTTAATTCACCCCCTTTCGTCTTCTTCTTCTATTCATAATACTACTACTAATAATAATACTTAATTTAGTTATAATTAATCCTTATCCTAATCACCACCATCACCCCCATCATGATCATCATCAAATGCTGTGTTTTTATTGGTTATTGAATTTTTAAAAATTATCATTAATATAGGGGGGTAATAGAGAGTATGAATATATTTTACAATGAATTGATGATGAATGTCGATGATTCACATAAGTAATTGACATTCAATACAACTAATATCATCCTCATCCTGATCATCATCATCACCATCACCATTGTCGTCATCATAAGGTGAATGGGGATATGAAAACAAAACAAAAAAAAATCTTTTATTGATATCCAATGATTATGTAATTGTTTTGATAAGATTCAATGTTATGGGGAAAATTTTTGTCTTTAGATAAGATAAGATAATGAACAGTAGTTGTGTTTCCCCTAAATAAACGACGGTTATCTAATCCGATTTGAATTCAAGTTTAAGGTTTGTAACTTAAATAGAAATGTCGAAATGATTATCTATCCAACCTAAAAACTAGGTAGGTTAATTGTCTTTATCAGAATGTGCTTTCCTTGGGGTATAGTGTGTTTGTGTGTGTGTGTGTGTATGTTTGCATGTGTGTGTGTCTATGTCTATATGTAATATTATGAATCATCATGACTTGATGAAACCTATCTTATTGCATAATCAGTTATCTAAACTTCATTTCAGTCGATAACTTATCTTTAAACCCTTGCGTAAACATGACAAATAGAAATTCTTTTACAAAAGATTTTCATCATTTCAATAGATTCGTTTTGTATTAATTGAAAGTGAGATCAACTTTTGGAAAAATCGAAAGACATTGTTTCGTTCCAGTCTAAAACTCTTCTAGATCGTTTAAAGTGAACAATATTGGGTTCAAGTCCCAGAGCGATTATCAACTCTAAGATGCAGTTACTTCCAGCTGACGAGTCCTAAATAAGACTGCTAGTCACTATCCATCTTTGTGTATAATGTCTAAACATGGTCGGTACCGCGTTCCTTATGTTAAGATGTTAATTGATTGGAAGCAGTTATTTGTAAATATCTCGATCGAACAATATGTCAGTTGCAGCAACAATAACTAGGCGTAGGTATCTTCAATGGTGAAGCTGAGTACTTACTAACTTACGCCTGTTACTCCTCGCGAAGCTGCATAGGTCACTCACCAGCATTCTCCATCCAACCCTGTCATGCGCAATTCTTTCAAACTCTTTCCAGTTGATATTCATCCTTTTCATATCTGCTTCTATTTCCCGATGTAATATATTCTTTGGCCTTCCTCATTTCTGCTTCCCTTCATGATTTCAAGTTAGGGCTGGCCTCGTGATGCAGTTTGACAATTTCCTCAATGTATGTTCTATCCACCTTCAGTGTCTTTTCATCTTCAGTTCCGAGCTGTTTTGTTCTCTCCCACAGTAGGCTGTTGTTGATGGAATTCGGGTGACGGACATTGAGTATCTTGTGTAGACATTGTTCATAAATACTTGTGACATTTTGGTGATGGTTGTAGTGGCTCTGCAAGTTTCAGCTCCGTACTATAGAACTAACTGTGTTGACATTCGTATTGAAGATTGTGACTTTGATATTGGTTTGCAGACGGTTGTTTTTAGTTGCACATGTTGTTCAACTGTAAGAAAGTTGTCCTTACTTTACGAATCCTCGCATTTACGTCTGCATTCGATCCTCCTTCTTCATCGATGATGTTTCCCAGATAGTTGAAAGATTCCACATGTTCCAAAGTTTTGTCATCAAGTGTGATTTGGAAGTATCATTTCCTTCACGATTATAGGCACACTTTTCTGACGAGTACCGACTAGAACAAAACCTAAATCGACTATGATTTCTTCCCAATCATCTGAAATGTGTCTGATTGAACTTTGATAAATTTCCTTAACTATGATAATTGATAAATCATTGACAATAAGTAAACAATCAGATTTTACTGCTTATTCATCTTGGACGAAGTACTACGACAACTGCTAATAATAATACTTGAATGCGTAAGTCATTAGGAGACTAATATACATTGGAATACATCAGCTTAAATCATAATATGTTTATTTGGACTGTCTATTATAATCACTTCAATACTTAATCTTTGGTTTTATTTCCCAGACTTATGCGTGCTAATTGCTTTGTAATATGATTTTAAATCACCAACGTAGATGATCTATGTCAAATGATTGGAGGTTTACTCAAGTTATACGAGAATAGTGTGACGAACCAACTAGTTTCAAAGTCACACCTCGACGTCAGCAATCAACGTGGATTATTCCTTCGACGTATCAAAGCACTATGGCGACTTTGAAGACCGCATAACACAAAGGACTTTATTATGAAAATATATTAGTAAGAATGAGTACTGAGAAGATAGCGAGACCACCACCGCATGCACCAGTCCATGGCATACGATTAACTGATGTGCGTTGGTTATGATTGACCTTGATGGGGATCGATGATCTGTTCGATATTCAGTGACCCAAACTGTCGGATGATTTGGCTCGGGCTCAGTGACATTTGACTAGCCCTGCATCATGTTGTAGCCAAGACCCAGTCCCCCTACTTTTCTCCAGGTTCACATCACGAAATAAACCCACTTTAACAACTAATGTAAACCAGAAAATATTGGATAGCACTTTCATCTTAATATGAAAATTTTGAAAGGTTATAAACTAGGTGACTAACTGAAGGTCCAACTGAGTTGAAATCAAACGGTTTACAATTCTAAATTAATTTAATTTCCGATATCCTGTGACTATCACTTTCTGTGATTACTTCCATTGGTTATGTTATTTTTATTGTAATCAATCAGTATTGACTAACTTACTGATGTCTTCATTGTTAGGTCAAACTAAAAACAAATATCACATGGTGTTTTGCGGAGATTTTAGTAGTTTTATAGTTCAATTCATGAGCCAATTGATGTTAGACCTTTATGGAAAACCTGGAAGCACTGGACGACTGTTTCGTTCTATTATTGGACTCAGCAACCGAATCAGTTGTGAGATAGTAACTCGCTGAGGACAGTGGTGGACGGTGGCTCAGTTTCGTGGATTAGTTGAAGTTAGACATTAAAACCGTTGGATGCCAGCTCAGTGGCCTAGAGGTTAAGTGTTCGTGCACGAGACCGAAGGTTTTGGGTTTGACTGTCGTGGATGCCCACTGCTAAGTAGTTTCTTACCAGGACGAAAAAGCCGTCCAATGCTTTCAGGTTTTCCATGGTGGTCTAACTTCAATTGACTCATAAAATCAACTAGTAAATGAACGAATTCTTTAATACGTTTTAGAACTTGCATTACAATGGTCAATGCGCCATACAAGTCACTTGATTTGTGTATGGGTTATGATACTGCCTGAGTGATTTTCTTAGGAGATCACATGCGGAGCCTTCGACATAAAGATCTAATCCACAATGCAGTAGAGCAACATCAGGAGATGTAGTCCCAATAATTGGTTCATACTCTATTCGTTCCTTCAGGATCCTGGAGTCCATGTTTGGAATAAGGGTTTTCAAACTGCCCTATGTGGCTCTTCCATATCCATCAACCCAGTTAAAGCCTCCGATATTCGCTTATCAACCTGTCAATTTCGTAAACAACAGTAATTTCGTGAGAATGCAATGAGTAAGATTTCTTTTAAAATGGCTGTATATGTGTGCCTGTGTGAGAATATTTCGAAAGATAGTGAGAACTAATACTCGTTACCTTCGACTGTATCAGGACATTTGAGAGCATAGTGATTTTTATCCCAAACAAATCTTAGCATAATATTTTACATTAAAATCAATTAAAGTATCATATATAGATACATATTATTCCCTTAACTTATTATGAAAGGCTATTGACATGTCGATTGTAAATAAAGCTCACTATTATTACTAGTGGTGGTAGTAGTAATGGTGGTGGTGGTGGTGGTGTTGGTGGTGGTATAGTACTGTTATTATTTTGTATCCTTTGCACTGTACAAAATAATCGATGGATTGGTTTAATGAGTACTATTCATATAGTTGATATTATCTCAAAATTTGATCGATAAAATGTAATCAATAATAGAATAGGACTCAAAAAACCCCAACTCAGTATGAAGAAAAGTTGATGAGTAACTAACCCTGGAAAACAATATGAATATTTTATTCTATTGAATGTACTTGCATTTTATATTTGAGATTCTAACTTAATACTATCAGTTTAAGGGTTGTGGAGATTGTTAAGTTTTTGATTGAGATCATGAACCGATTGATGTTAGACCATCATTGAAAACCTGGAAGCAGTGAATGGCCGTTTCGTCCTATTGTGAGACTCCTCAACAGTGCGCATCCACGATCCCGCTCGTGGGATTCAAACTCATGACCTTCAGCCCCGCACGTGAACGCTTAACCTGCTGAACCATTGAGCTGGCATCCAATTGTGATAATGTCTTACTTTAACCAATCCATGAAATTGCGCGACCATCTTCCATTGTACTGAGGTAGATAGATACATGTCTCTATCCGACATGGATTAGCTCCACTGGTCATAGCTTCTATGCTATTATTTGTTTTAAGCACTAATGAGTAATTTAATTAACTTTTGTATGTTGTTAGACTGTATTGAAACGATAAACCCTGGGTTAAAGTCATGGGAAGAATATTAATGTCTTTATTCAGGTATATCTAGCTAGTGAGTCCTAAGATGAAACGACCCCCCCCTCTGAGTTTCACTCTTAGACACAATCCAACCCTGA